CCTTAGCAAATCCAGATTAGAGCTGGTCTGATAAATGCTGAGCTGGGTGTGTGTGAACATGGGTTGATTAACATTGGAAGCACAGATTCCCCATCATGCAGCGCTCTCCTGCTTCTCTGGTCCCAGAATTCACTGCAGTCTCTGCTTCAGGCTTTCTGTTTTCCATCTCTCATGTAAATGAATGGTCATCTGGTTCCATCTCGGATGTAAATGAGACCTAGGGCAGTTGTTTCACTCTTATCACCCTTATCTGGTGAGGGTCTTAGGTGCGTCTCTCACTACATCTTAATCAGTTTCATTTAGGTAGAGGAGGGGAGGGAGGGGGGGGTGAGTCCTTTGTGAGTCAGACAGACTGCATCCTGTGCCAGGGTTGCCCAAGAACACAGAGCTGAGACGTAACATCATTGCCTGCGTGTTCGCGGTGTTTGCTTGCAAGAGGATACTAACATTGGTGCATTTGTCTTCTCACTAGATTTGAAGGATCTTCCACAGGCAGCATTGATGGTACTTCTTCAGCGGCTTGAGATGTCTCCTATATGTTGTCCACATCTCAGCTCTGTACAGTAGGATGGGGATCATGATTGCTTGATAAACCATGAGCTTGGTTTTGGATCTGATGTTGCAGTCTTCATGCACCCATTTCCTCAGGTGTTTGAAGGTTGCACTTGCACATTTGAGGTGATATTGAATTTCTTCATCGATGTCAGCCTTCTACAAGAGATGGCTTCTGAAGTACAGGAAATACTCAAGGTTCTCTAGAGTCTCACCATGAATCTGAATTATGAATCTGGGGACTGCTCATTAAGATCTTGTTGATGGAGGACCTTAGTCTTCTGAATGTTAAGCTTAAGTCCCATTTTCTTATATGCCTCGGTAAAGATGTCAGTGATTGCCTGAAGGTAGGTCTGCTTCCAAGTGAACACAGACTACAGCATCATCAGCGTACAGGAGCTTGATGATTGAGATTGTGGTGGCTTGGTTTTGACTTGGAGTCAGCTGAGATTAACAGTTTACCATCCATTTGGTAGTTTAGCTCCACTCTGACTGGAATAGTGGTAAGGAATATTGAAAAGAGTGATGGAGCAATGATGCAGCCTTGCTTAACTCCTGTCTGAACTTCAAAGGGATCTATGATAGATCCATTATTGAGAAACACCACTTGCATACTATTATGGAGCAGGCAAAGAATGGTGACAAATTTCAATGAGCATACATACTTCAGAAGGATCCTCTACAGCAGGGGTTTTCAACCTTTTTCAGTCAGTGTACCCCCCAGCAGCCAGTTGAGAAGGAAGGAGTCCCCGGTGACCAGTCGACAAGTGGGGAGAGGAGGGGGCCCCCCGGTGGCTGATCAGTGAGTGGGGGGGGTTTCCCTGCAGCCGGTTGACAAGCTGGGGGGTGAGGGGAGCAAGTGTGCCAGCAACACGCCAGCGGCAGAAGTCTCAGCAGCAGAAGTGCCAGTGGCAGAAATGGCAGCAGTGCCCACTGCCGAGTAACCCCTGAGGCCTTCCCAAGTACCCGCATTGTTGTAGATTTGAATTTGCCAGTTTTCCGTTGAGGCACTGGTGGAAGAGGTCTTGCTTGATTGGGTCCTTGAGTTCTTCAACGCTGATTTTCTGTCAGCATTGCTTCTGCTGTAGCCATCATTTAGGAGCCAGTTTGAATGACATAACCAAGTAGATGAGTCAATGATTGGACCAGCAGTTGTCAGCTCCTAGTATAGCTTAGGTGATGCAGACATATTTCAGTCTCAGGCATGAACAATGATGTAGTCCATCAAGTATGAATGTTTGGATCATGGGTGTTGCCATGATGTCTTGTGCCTATTTTCTGGGGGAACAGGGTGTTGGTGAGTCCACGTTCTGTGTTTTTGGTCAAGAGTGGGAAGTTGACCTTTCCCACTCCTTCCTTGTGACTGGTTCTGTTCCAGAGGTCCAAGTTCCTTCTGACTCTGGTGTTGAAATCATTGAGAAGAGTTAGTTTGTCTCCTTCGGGAATGCCAGAAAGGACTTGGTCAAGGTTGGCATGGAATTCCTCCTTGGTTTCATCAGCAGCATCAAGAGTCAGAGCATATGCGCTGATGACAGTGGCATATTGGCTCCCTGACAATTTAAGACAGAGAGTCATGAGGCACTCATTAATTCTGATAAGGAACTAATTGAACTGGTTTATTAATTCATTTTTGATGGCAAAACCAACTTTGTAAAGCTGGCATTCTCTTCCCTGCTGACCCTTCCAGAAAAGAGTATAGCTGCCTCCTTGTTCTTTGAGCTGCCCATCTCCTGCTCAGTGCAGTGACACCAATGTTGTGTCACCTGAGTTCTTAAGCCACAATCGTGGTGCAGTGCTGTGGGCATTCACTGTTAGTATTGTCCAAGAGGATCCTAATGTTCCAGAAACCAAAAGTGAATGTGCGTCTTCATTGATTTTGATCACAGTTAAGGTGGTCCCACTGGATGCAGTTATCCAGTCAAGAAAAAGGTAGTCAGACTATGTTTAGGGCACCTTTTCTAGCCTCCTCCTCATGTGGCATGAGCAGAGCAGATCCTGAAGAGGGCTGCTCAGTTGCAGTTGCAGTTACAGTTGCTGAATCGCACTCCTGATTCCCTTATCCAAGCGTCAGATGACCTTCTTGTAACTGCTGTGTTCATGCCAGTTCATGATTAGGAGGTTCCAGACCTCACACTCTTGCTCCCATTCATCTCTAGCTGGTCACCAAAGAACTTGAAGGTGTGCTGGCAAAGATGTTTCCATGGAAGACGCCTGTACATAATTTCTTTTATCATGGAGAAGCTGCTGCACATCAGCTTCCACAAGGTTCTTGACAGAATGGGATCTTGATCCAATGGCAAGGAGGCCAGGACAATTGGAGACATTAGTGACATGTAGGGGGTGCACATGGGTGTACGTGAACTCCCTGCAAAAAGCACTGCCGGTGGCACCTGTGGGCAGTCGCTGCTTGCCACCCTTCCTCCCCTCATCACTGACACCGCCGCTGGCATCTGCAGGTGGTCCCCAATCGCCAGTGGTATCTGTGGGTGGTCACCAACCGCTGGTCAGCGCTTGCCCCCCACCCTTGCTGACAGTGCTGTGGCCGCCTGCGAAGCTCACTGCTCGCTGCCACCACACTCCTGCCACTGACAGCGCCGCCACCACCTGTGGGAGCTTGCCATGCCCCCCAGCCTCCGGGAGCACGCAGCATTCATGATTGGAGATCTCATTCCACTGTAGCCTTCACAGCCATTGAGATTCTAGCATCTTCTGTCTACCCCATCATTAAGGAAGTGTAGACCCATGACTCTGCGTGGGCAGGCTTATTATAGTGGCAACCTGTACTCACCATGTCTCAGCACTGTCAAAGGATATATGTGGCTTTTCAAGAGGAAAAGTGTTTCCACCTGCTGTCCTAATCACATCCTGGTGGTGCTACTGCTGGTTGGTCCATGACTGCTTTTTTGTCAGAGTTAGCCCTGCTTATTTCACAGCTGACCTTCTCTGAAGGTCATTCCAGTAACCACCACCAGTGGATACACTGGACATGTCTGCACATGTGTATTTACTGTGCAGTACCTGATATTACTGCACAGTATGCGCATGCATCTACATGTGCACTGCTATACTGCGCAGTAAATATGGTGCCTTATGCCGACTTGAGTGTAAGTTTGATACCTGCATCATACAGGTATCAAATTTACACCCAATTAGTTACTGTGCAGTAACACACAGGTAGATGTCTTACTGCATGGTAACACTGTGTGTGTGGACTGATTTGGGATTAACTTTAGTCCCAAGTCAGTCCACATGCAGCGTTAATGCACCTTAACCCCTGCACATGTAGATGCCAGCCTATTCCCACATACTGTGCAGTAAATTTAAGCCAGGATAAATGCACATATAGACATGCCCACTAGGTAGTAGATCAGCTCTGCCACCAGTCCGGTATGTTTGAGGGGGGGAAAGTAAACATACAGATGTGTGTTGTGAATCCTTTGTTATGCAGGATGACAATGCTTTTCACAAATACTTTTCTTCTGTGCCATAAAGGGTCTACTGTTGTCTGGGAGTGACACTGGAACTGGGCCCTCTTTTGTATATGCTCTGGGCCCTGTACAGGTGACCTGGCATCATGGTTTGGAAGAATGCAAACCAATTTAAAAGATGTAAAACTTTTGTGAAACAGCTTTTCTGTACTATATCCAGTGGTAATAGCATACAGGAATGGTGTAGGAGAGAGGTTTTATTGGCAGTTATGATTCAGGTTGTCACAACTGTTCCAGCTCTTGCAATTAAAACCTTATTACCATGTTAGACTGCCAGGTAATCTCTCTTTCTTTTTCTTATGAATATACAGTATTTTTAATATAAAATTGATTTATAAACTAATACCTATCTGCAGCTTTCTGCCCATCAGACATACAGCCTTGCATGTTCTCTTGACAAGTAAAAGCTGCTGAATTTGCCCATTTATATTCACCATTCTGTATTTTTAATATGTTGTTCATTTGTTTCAGATAAAAATATTCACTCATGAGGAGAGTGACATCTTGTCAATCAAAATAGAAATGCAAGTGGAGATACCATCAGATCTAGCTTTCTTCCTTCTGTCTGACTTCAGACTCCGCCTGCGGTGGGACAAACATTACTTGTAAGAGCAATTACATTTTTTCTAGCATTATTTGACTCTGCTCATCATTGACCTTTTCTGATGCCATCATTTGTGATGCAGAGACCTAAGTTTACAGATAGCTAATTAAAGAGAAGTAACTGAAATAATATGACTTTAAAGATCCATTAATCAGAGCCTGATTGTTTTCCCTCCTCCCCCGATAGTAAAATTAATTTCCTCTAACCCTGGTTTATAATTGGGATTGACAGTAAAGCGACCTGAATCACAGGCTGTTCTGTAACAATTCAAGGAAGACTCTATATGCTAAACCTGGTGAATATCAAAGGGTGCTGGATAGGTAATATTGTACATTTGCCGTGTAAGAAATGAGGCAGAACAGTTTGCTCCCTCATAGTCTGCTCTAAATAAGCACGTTTGTGCCGTCTTGCCAATTCACAGTGTAACACAGCTGAATGTCAACATTGAGCGCATCTACATGTGTAAATGCTACTGGATGGGTTTACTCCAGAGTAATTTACTCTGGAGTAAACCCACCTTGGGCAAGCATCTACATGTGTGCCCATTTGGGAGCAGATTTGCTGCTTCTGGCAACAGTCTGTTCCCACCCCCACTGGCCCTGCACTAGAAGTCTGCAGCAGCCTGCAGGAGCTCTAGGCTCCACCCAGGTGCTAGCCCAGGGGCTGGCAGAGATCAGGGCCAGGAGAGTGGGCTGGAAGATTGCTTCCTGCCCCCAGGAGCTGCCTGCTGCCTGGGTGGGCTCCAGTGGTGGAGCCCAGGCAGGGACAATGTCCCTCTGACCTGGCAGCAGGGAGCTCCCAGCCTTGCCTCCCTGATAGGGGCAAGGGGCTTAGAGAGAGCTGAAGGGGAGGGGCGGGTCCCAGCTCCCTGCCCCGATCTGCCGGTGGGGAATTCCAAAACAGGACAGTCCCCAGCCACCTCTAGGCTGCACATGAAGACCTCCCTGCACAGCCCAGGGCTGGCTGGGAACTGTCCCAGTCAGGGGCAGTTCCCAGCCAGCTTCAGGCTGGGTGGAGAACTCTCCCTGTGCAGACAGCTCCCTGCCCCCGCTCTGTGATCACAGTGCGGGGGCTGGGAGCTCCTTGCTGCTGAGGCAGGGGAGTGTTGTCCCTGCCTGGGCTCCAGTGGTGAATCCCACCCCAGCAGCAAGCAGCTCCCAGGGGCAGGAAGCAATCTCCCATCCCCTGTTGCAAACTTGCTCCTGATCAGCTGTCTACACATGCCATACTGTGCAGTAATTACTCTGCAGTTAATTTGCAACTTGCATTTACATGTAGCACAATCAACTGCTGAGTAGAGCAGATTATTGCACAGTAAGGGTCTGCACATGAAGATGTAGATGCTTACTATGCAGTAATTTGCTCTACTGCATAGTAAAGCATCTTGTGTAGATGCACCCACTGTCAATTTGGAGCTCAGGAAACTCATATCTTCCTAAATGTAAAAGAAGTTTTATGTGCTTAAGAGCAATCTTTGAGCCACCTCTAATCCAAATGAGCACTGCACATTGTTTATTTTCTTAAAGGTCCCTTCCATAATGCAGTATAGGAAGTAGTGGGAGATGATATAAAATAGGTTGATGCAGTATCATTTTCAGTAGGTGAATACACCTTAGCAAAAAGGAGAGTGTCTTCTAGTGATTCATTGTGGCTGGAAAAGTAGTTTTCAGAAAATAAATATTCTGATTATACAATGAACAGAACTGTTGAAGATTTGCATGCCTAAATACTTGGCTCAGTTTTTCTCCCAAAAAAAAGAAGTATCTGAAGAAATGCAGCAATATGCCCAAAGTTTCAGGTTTCTTATAACTAGTATGTAGCCTTGTTGATTGGCCATAATAGTTTATTGATTCTATAATGCTTAGTGCTCAAGCATTAGGAGTTGGGATGAAAAAAACTATTGTCTGTGTAAAAGCAGGTTTGATAGTTTTGTTTTATAATGAATGCTTGAAGGCAAAATTCGAAGGTAGCTGGCTAGAAGATCTAAGAAAAGAGAGCAAAAAAAGGTATCTCCTACCAGGTGGCTCTTCTGAGACAAGAATTAGGCAACTTTGATTAAAACCAAGCTAAAACTAGCACAGCTGCTTTTGAATGAGAATATAACATTTTGATTTTATTGAAGGAGATCATCTAATCCAAATTTATGCAAAACATCAAAGAGAATGTTCCAAGACACTCTGTCACATGCTCTTTCTGCATTGAAAAAGACCGAAATAGATTCAAGTTCTGGGTGTCTAGAGGCCTCTAAGACCTTAGGGGCTCTTCTGTTTATTACATGCTGAGGAGCTGTTCTTTAGAAATCCAGTTTGATCTTGGCCCATAAGTTTCAGGAAAACATTTTCTAGTCTCAAGAGCTACTTGTCAGCTACTGTTTTAAGATCTCCATTAATCAGGAAAACAGATATCTGAGGGGAACACCCCCCTGGGGCTTTGCTTTTTCTGTGTATGCCAGGTACTGGGACAACATGGAAACACCCAGGTAGTATCACTGAAATTCAGTTTGATGCTGTTCCAAAGAGGAGCTAGCAATATGTAAGAGAGCTGTTTTTAGTAATTTCCCACACAACCATCCTGCCTTGGAGCTTCACCAACATTTTTAGGCAAATTGAGGGGGAAGGGAGAGGACAGGTGACAGAGGTACTTTCAGATGAGGAATTACAGAGAAGCAGGCTCTTCCACTCTCTGTTCCACTTGACCTCTTCTCTGAGCTCTTGCACTTTGTAATTCAAGCCCAACCTGAAAGAACTACAAACATGTTTCCAGTCTTGTTTTAACACTGTTCTAGTAATCTGAACAAAGGCTGTACACTCAGCTTTACAATGGTAATGTGCCTTTTGAGGCAGTGTTTTATAACACAGCCTACTGCATCCTTCAGGCACTGAACTGTCCTAACTACCCGATGTCAAATATACTTGCAGAACTTGTGAGGTCATAGAAGTTGTGAATGAAGATGAAAAAATATATTACATAACCTGTCCATCAGTGGATGGCAATAAACCCAAAGATTTTCTAGTCCTTGTGTCACGAAGACAGCCCTGTAAGCCTGGGTGAGTACACGATTTGAAGCTTAACTGCTGCTAATGCTTCAGAGCTATCAGTTTTGATTATCATGTGTATCGAGAAGACAGGTCCAAGATAAATGATAGTAATAAACATGTTATTGTATCCTTTGAGAATCTGGATGGGCTACTGGTTTCTTTAATGACTTTAGGCTGAATGTAGGTTCCAGAATTCCTCTGCATCATAATATAGGAACAGGTTAATTACTTAAAAACTGCCACGCGAGATAAAACCAGGCGACTATATATCAGTTCGGTATTCTGTCTTTGACAATGGCTGCTAGCAGCTGGGCCAAAAGAAGGTGCATAATGTGAAATAACGTGCTTGTTGAAGAAGTTTCTTTCTAACACCAGGAAGGGAGAGATTAGCTTGTGCCCCTGAGCATGAGGGGTCACATCTTATGTTTCACTTAACTTTGGATGTTCCTTTTCACAGTATAAATATCTGTTCCTTTCTTGAAACCTGTTATTTTCCTGGATTCAGTAATGTGTGTTAGCAGTAAGTTTTACCACAACTTGTGTCAAAAGACCCTTTGGCTTGTTTTATATTTACTGTTTTAACTTTCATTGGATATCCTGATGTGATGTGTTTACCTTTAATTTACCTTCTGGTTACCACTTTTTTATAGGCATCTCTTATTTCCCTCTATTACTGGTCAGTAACTGCTAGCATTTGCACAATGGAGACCACTCATGTGGTTATGCTTTTTAGGTCACAGGAGAAGTTCTAGTCTGCTTTATTCACTACCATTCCTCATTTTGAGGTACTTCCATTTGGACTAAAGGTCATCTCTATCCTCACAGTGGATAGAGACCCTGATAAAGTCTGTTCTCAGGCCCTGAGTATATCTACCCTGTAGCCAAAGACTATACAGAAAAGAAAAGAAATATTTCAATAAAATGTAAGTGACTTCTCTCCTCACTGGGTGCATCTACACATGGAATTAATGTGACACAATAAACTCTGGAGCAGTTACACCAGAGTTAACTGCTCCCAGGTGCACTGTCTCCATATGCACCCGGGACAGCAGCAATTTGAGCCAGGGCAGAGCAGGCCTCCAGTTGCCTGGACTGACTAGTCACAATGTACACCCCTGGTCAGTGTCTACACATGTGTTTCAGCATAGTAAAGTATCCTGCCATAGGATGAGAATCCTGTCAGAGAGAGTAGTATCTTATGGTGGACCTAATTAGTCTACTGCACTCTAATACCAGCTCACATGTAGACTGTGGTGCTTCATTGCAGAGCTAATTAGTCTATTCCCCAGTAATCACACATGTAGATGCACCTACTGTCTTCATTACCACCTTCCCCTGGCTCTGTTATCCCCAGTAATGTTTATAAAGTGATGATAACCAGGTGGATCACTGAATGGCTGTATCTCAGAATGCAGGCCGTATCTTTACCAAAGAGGGTGGCCCTTGGGTTCTACTGGAGCCTGGAATCTTTTGTACTGGGCTTGCAGTCTTTTGAGCTTCTGCCAGTGTTGTTTGCCATAGCATTTAATGAACAGTATAGTGACCCACTGCAATACTTTTGAGTATGCCTTCTGGTTATAGAAAATAGAAGTAAGCTCCACCTCTTATAAGACTGCCCATCCAAATGCCATGTAGGCTCACATCTCTTACATAGGCTAGCTTATGGCTCAACTGAAGAAATATACAGATTCAGCTATTTTAATTCAAGATGTGCATAGATAGCAGAAGGGTTTTTTGATGTTAGAACTGGATGCTTTGTGCCGTGCAGGAACTTTCTCCAGGTTCTGAACCCTATAGTCACTCAGGGACTTCCTAGTAAAGCTGAGGCTCCTGGGCTAGAACACCGACCTGCTGGAAAACATGAGGCCCGGCATTCGGAAATGGCCACGGGGGAATGGCTGAATCAGCACAACTCATTCTTTTGTGGTGTTTTATTCACATTGGAAGGAATGAAGACTGAGCTGTATTAACTAGAAATGAAGAACCTCATCTGAGCAATTGCAGCCATCACTGCTCTTCTAGAGCGGCTGTTATGTCAAGGAGAAATGTTATGGTTTTTCTCACAAGAAAATGGAAAAACATTTGAGCCCTTTGAGATCTGATTAAAAATCAGTTGACGTCAACTTTATGAGGCCCTTCCAGCAGATATCTTATATGAGCTGATTTGAGAGCTGAAATTTTAACTTGTTTAATGTATCTTTTACATAAAATGGTATGCTTGTTACAGTCATTCATATGCCTTAGAAAAAGCACTTTTGAGTTTTCCAGTTCTAGTCTCACACACACACACGCACTCCCTGCTGAAGAGATGCTTATTTTCCCTTCCAGTGACCCTTATGTAATAGCTGTGAGGTCTGTGACCTTAAAAACGATGCCACCTTCTCCCAGCCATTGCAGAAGTGAAATCCGATGTGCAGGATTCCAGATATATAGTGATGGTGACAACTCCTGTATGGTGCGTGAGTAACTTTACAAACCACGGTAGTATTTTCTCTCTCTCAACATGCATTATCACATTCAAATTAACAGTCTGAAACAGGCCAGTAACGCAACAAAAGGGGCAGTTTGATTTCCAAATGCTTTAAAATCTGACTTACTGTGGATAGTGAGATATTTTTTATTCTCCAAATCAGTTTCATACATTTGTGTTCTCTTCAAAGAAAAGGTTATAGCATAGGAACAAACACAGAAATGTTCAGGTGCCTTCTCTGGACCATGGATTCTTCTTCAGAGAACATTTGTGTTGCTAAAAAAATGTATTTAACTATTTAGAGATGATCACTCAAATTCTGTACTGTGCTGTAAAGCTGTATTATTTAGGCACTGACTGAAGTGAGGACATTAAGATAACTTGAGTGCGGTTTTTTAAGGAGGATGTTTTTCCAGTTAATATTACCTTCAGCTTCAGAGTGCATTTATTTTCATCCTTGAAATATCTGGGGGGGGGTGGCTGATGTTGATGAGGGGCTTTGGGAAGATGACTGTCACATCCTGCAAGTTTTTAGTTTTTCATGTGTATTTGTTTAAACAGGTGTCTTACTTTAACCAAGTGACATCTGGTGTTCTGCCTTACTTTGCTGCAAATCTCACTGGCTCATCAAAATCCATTGAGGACACTGCTTCTGAGTGCATCAGGTTCTTGGAGTCGGAAAGCAGCAAGATTAACAGTACTTTGTTTTAAGTAAAATCACATGAGAGCTCTAAATAATATCAGCAGACGTTTCTACAATCCTGCATGCACGCACGATCAGTCTCAATATCTGCATCTCTGTCAGAATGAAATATTTACTTTGAGCTACACAGCTAATTGAGGGCCTGATGCTGAGGGTAACTGAGTTCTTGTAACTCCTATTGGATTGGTCTGATTAAACTGTAAATTCAGCTTTATACATTTAAAGGGAGTACATTTTGGCTCTGGGGATGCCTTCCACAGGTGTAGAACCCAGAAGGGCAGGACTCAACCGCATAGGATGTTATAAAATAGGAGAGAATTTCACACTTACAAATTCATATTAGACCTAATGGAACTGAATCAGTTCTTATGACAGTAAATGCATACATTTTTCATGTAACAGGAAGCATCATATTCTCTGGCCTGGCTGTCCACTACCTCACATATTGGTTTGGTATTGACGTGTGTGAAAAAGTGAGTATAATCTGCTGCTCTTTTGACTACATAGCCACTTTGCACACACATAAATACCTGCACAAGATGCAGGGGAGTGGAGAATCTGGTCCCAGAAGTAAAAAATATGATACTGCAGAGGCAAAGAAGAGTGTATTTAAGCTTGTCTTCTCCACTAAGAATTACAGTTGCACTTTCCTCGCTAGCTCATTAATAGTGTGTATTTACTTTATCTATTGTTCTTAATAGAGTTTCATAAATTACTGTGCAGCTCCAGTCAGAGGGCTGTCATGATTTCTGCTACAAATATCTTTTTGGAAGGGTTTCAAACTCAGTTCCAAAAATGTGTTCTGGACCAAAGTAATTGTAAGATGCTGGCCTCCTTCTAATGCACTTTGAAGGCTAATGATGCAAAGTGTCAGAGCTTGGTACTATTATTATTGTTAGAGCATTGAAGAAGTGTGGAAAAATAGTACACCAAGAATTCAAGCCAAGTTAAATTATAGCTCAAAAAGAATGCTGGTTTTAAAGGCCTCTTTTTTTGCACTGATCTGTTTTGTTTAAAAAATTATTATAATTGCAGGTGATCAAGGCATATAGTGACTAGTCTTTGGATGAATTTAAATGGTAAAAAGCTAGGTCTCACATCAGTGCCACCTAAGGACTGATACTCCTGATATGATGGATTGGTTCATTCTTGGTCCAGCTCCCTTTGAAGTCAATGGCAATAGTCTTACTGATTTCAGTTGCAACTGGATCAAGGCCATGGTCATATAGTAATAGGATACCCCGTGCCTCCTTATTTTATGTGGTCTCTGGGAATGCCCCCTTCATGTATGAGGTCCTAGACTTAGGTTTCACAAGGACAACCCCTACAGTACCATGGAAGTAGGCGTTTTGTCTCCAGCCTCCTCATTTATTACTGTAGCTGTTTTACTTCCATCAGCCTTTGCACTCCTGGCAGAGACTTCACCCTTTTGGGGAGTGATGCTAGCACCAGGTTTTTGCTGTCAGTCCAGACAGTCTTCTCAAAGTAAGGTAGAAGTTATCAGCCAAGTGGAACCCAGGCTTTAAAAGCCACTAGTATAGCGTGGAAAAAGCATTCAGTTTGGAGAATATGTTGTCAGAAGCACCTCTCTGCTTCCCCACAAACCACCTAGATTCCACCCCACTTCTTCCCTATGTCTCTGTGGTCTTTAAAGGCTGACACTATATTTGAAGGTGCTGCTGGGTCTGTACATGGCTATTTGCACACACCCCTTGTGGACATGTACTGATATCCATGGCCCAAAAAAGTCAGGGCACCCTGAGAGCCACAACTAACAGGTGTTGGACTGAGGAGGAGGAAGAGGCCTCTCCTACGTATTTGTTCAGGGGACATAGTCAGGAAGCTGAAGACCTACGTTCTAGACCCCTTCTCTCTCCCTGGCCCCCGCCCAGGCGGAGTTTGGATCTGCACCTCTCTGACTTTTTAGGAATTGAACTACAGGATAGGCATTAGCTAGGCCCTTCTCTGGTACTCATTTTGTCGCTGGCTCCACCCAGGCAGCCAAGAGAGGGAGACCGAGGCACTGCAATGCAGCTCCATGACCAAGGCAGTCACACGGCACCTGGGGTAGTACTGGTTCCTGCCATGCCATGCCATGAACAGCAGTAAGACCCGTTTTTGCAGCTCACCATCCCCCTCTCAACACTTAAGCTTCTGGAGGGAGGGATGTAGAAAATATTGAGGATGAGGAAGAAGACAGTAAGTCAGAGACCAGTGAGATGGCTTAGTGAGATGGCTGCTTTCCCAGTGGAGAGGGAGGATTTTGGGGTCTAATGAGATGGACGAAGGTTCCCAGTGAGGTGGAAACTTTCATACCGCACTGTCATGGGTCTACTTTTTCCAATGACCATTAAAAGCAAAGACAAGGATTCAAGTTCAGCCCCTTTCTGGGCAAAAAAGGACCTTGTGTCCAGATTGCTGGCTTGTGGGACAGATGCTCTAATCACTTAGCTGTTTGGGTAAAATATAAATGCATCTTCCTCCTCTATTTTGTTTCCAGGCCTTGTTTCCAGGTACACATAGATGTTGTCATCACCGTGTGCAGTTTTAAAAATGCCATTCACACAGCTCAAAAACTGCCACTTAGCCAAACAAGGGAAATGGAAGGCCACCCTAGGCAGCTGGCACCTTAGGATGGACTCCAGACCCATGTCAGGTGCTCAGTTCCCCCATGTGCAACCCATGGGGACAGTTAGGACACAAAATAAAGCGAGCATGGCACACTAAAGTGCCTTCAGGCCTCATCCAGCCGAAACAGCATCTGCACATGCGCTGCTACAAGGTTTTTACTCTGCAGCAGCATAGTACTTGTAAATAGTAATATACAAATATACAAGTAGTAAATACAAGTACTATGCTGCTGCAGAGTAAATTAGTTTACTTCAACCTAATAGGGAGGCATGTGTAGTTGCGAGACGTTTACTATGCAGCTAACTATCCTACTGCACAGTCAACATCCTGTGTAGATGCGCCCAGTATGTATGTCACATATTTGTGTATACCTCTATGTAATCATTTGAACAACTGTGTTTTTTACAAATGTACGTTTTACAAATTATTTACTGAATAAAAATCACTGAAGTGATGCTACTTATTTACCATGAGTCCTCTTGTTTTATAACGGGTGGCATATTGAGCAGCAACTCCTTTCAGCAGTATGTTGTCACGCTCAGTATCTAGGCTTAAATATTAATGGGAGTACATGTATTGTAATAGGGATGGTAATGCCAGGTCCTAATGGCTCAGGAGAGACCTGGGGCAGGGCCCCTTTAAGATGCATTTCCAGCTTCATCCACATTGCAGGTGAGGGTAGAGCACTTGAGAATGTGCTGAAGAGTCTAGAGCTTGCATGTTTGGAGGATATTGGAGCTCCCAGGGTAGGGTGGCAGGGAATGTGGGAGCCAGGAACAGCCACTGGAAGTTGTGGTGGCATTGATGCCTAGGGTGGTGGACCTAGGGATGTGAAGATGATGCAGTGGCTGTGGCAAGGACCAGAACCACTGGAGAGTTGACACCATGGAGTCTTAGGGAGAGCCAGCGAGCACAAGCATCACCAGAAGAAAGACGCTGCCTGTAGAGCCCCAGAAGTAAGGTAGGAGGAGGGTTCAGGTGTTGTTATATGTTGAGCTATAAATATGACCTTGAGGCTAGCCTCATAGTTAGGAAGGGCCTGGACCCAAAACCTGAGCGTAAGGGGTGGGTTTGGATTCCCCTACCATAATCCTACCTAATGTAAAAGGTGAGTGTTAGTTATGTCTTGAAACAAGGAATACGTTTTCTGTGAGAAATAGAATTACTGAAGTTGGAAAAGACTGGTCTATTATTGCCTGGAAAGAGAGGGTACATCCATGTGGCATGATTAATATGGAATGATTTACCTTGTGTTTTATTAGTAAACATATGCTGAAGTAAGAGGCAGACCCATGACCAGTTCTCCTTATCCAGCTCTGTGACATAGGTGCTATTACAACATCTGGCCCATTGGTGGCAAGGAAGCTAGTTTGCATTGTATACAAATAGTTGCCCCAGGGTGAAAGGGACTGAGGAAGCAGATACACAACTAGTATAAGTACTGGTGTAGGACACAGCAGTTTCCATGAGAGAGAACTTTACCCTGAAGTGGATTAGCTCTCAGTAGCATACAACTGTGTATTTTATCTGTTCCACTTACTCCTTATAAGGCAAAGCCAGTTTACACTATAAGCAGACATGTCATGGTCTGTACCTGGAGCCTGTGTTATTTCTATGAAAACAACTGCATGCTGGGGCACTGCATCCTAGAGAAGACACTTCTGGGATATTAAAGCCCAGGACAGGATGGAAGGGGGTTTGAATGCCCCACCAGGGATACTACAGGCTCAGTCACAGTCCAGCCTTGCTAAAGCTACTGCATAAGTCAGGTTGTGCGGTGCATACAGGTACATGCCTTGTGCAATTAACTGCAAGCTTTTGATAACATTACTGACTGCCACACATACTGGTTCTGTATGAAAACAGCAGTAGAAACCAGAGAACATAGCAGGGCTACAAGCTAACCAAACCAGATTGGTGTCTCTGCTACTCTCTATGAATATAGGTATTTTGGGGAGGTTGAACTTCAATAGCTGAATGTTAGCATTACCCCTTGTGGTGTTTGCATGAAGTTTGCCTCAGTCATGCCACTAGAAACTGCTGTTATTAGGGGCTGTGGCAATGCTCAGTTACCAGCCTCAAAAGAAAATGGGTTCTGTGCTGCACCCACTTTGCATCAGCTTTGTTTTGGCAAAGTTCATGGTAGCCCCTTTTGCACACTGCTGAACTTGCCTAACAGCCTTGGTGCAATATCAGCTCTATGCTGCCCATCACCCCACAGCTGTCACTGGTACAGAAATGTTTCTGGGAGAAATGCTGAGCTATGAGGTGGCATAGCTGAGGCAGTCCTGTTCCCATTACAATAACCCCCATCTATGGTACCTATGGCAATGGAGAGGTAGGTCTAGCATAGAGGTTTCCATTAAGTATTTCTACTGCAGGAGCTGAACAGCACCACTTGCCCCCCCTTGCCAAGTTCCAGCTCCCCAGTGCAGAGTGCTATAGAGAAAAGTAGAGTCAACCAATGGAAAACATGGAGTACATCCACCAGAATCCCTCTGATCAAGTCTACAGGTAATCTCTGCATTCTTTTTTCCTATGATTGTATGCTCTTGAGTTTTCACAAACTGAATACATGTATTCAGAGAAGGTTGATGGGCTACTCATCAGGACAAATATGGATCTGGAAGGCACAGACAAGCAATTTAAAGATATGTTGAAAGGTAAGTTATTTGTGGGGGAAAAAATAAGACCAGACCCAGGGAATTTATTAAACAAAGCAGAAACAACTATCAAAATAGAAAATTCAACTTCTTTTAATATTTTAAAAAGCAGAGTTGATTTTAACAATGTATAAATAAACTATTTAAACAATTATTTCTGTTTTCTTGTTTACTATAAAAAACTGCAAACATGCTAAGTCAGCAACAGCGCCAGAACTTGACCCCAGGTCTCCCCAAGCCTATACTTAATGTACTAAGCCATGATGCCTTTCAGAAAGCATGAAGATTATCCAACAGTCATGATACTTTCATAAAATGGGCAAGTTAATTTAAAATAGACAGTTAAATGAATACCTTAACCACTATTTAATTGTCCTTCAAACATGAACTGTCAGTTGCTTTAGAATTTGGTACACAGTGCCCCATCACTGCAGTTCTGAATCCAGGCTTCAAGGATCTGGGGTATTAGGCAACAGTAACCAAGGCATTAGCAATTCGAGTTTGGTACTGAATGCACCAAACCTAGGCCTTAATACAGGGGTGGGCAAAATGTGACCTGTGAGCCGCCTGCGGCCCTCCAGACCATTCTATCTGGCCCATGGGGCCCCTAAAAAAATTTAGAAAATTAATATCTGCCCCTGGCTGCCTGTCATGCGGCCCTCAATGGCTTGCCAAAACTCAGTAAGCGGCCCAACGCCCAAAATAATTGCCTGTCCCTGCCTTAGTAGTACCCACTATAATAGTAGAGCGCTGAAAAGCCCTATGTCCCAGCCACGTAGATACATTTCTGTGGTTTTGTTCCTGCTACCATGTAAAGCATTAACAAACATGACATGGCTTCAAGGAGGCCATGTGGTAAACATACAGTTATCCAAATGACCTTGGTGACAGCAAACAAAGCTGGAGCACTAAGTTTCTTAATACTCGAAGGGATTTGCAGAGATAACAGACACTGTGTGGATGTTTTAGAAAACAAGATTTGCTCCACATGGGATTATATGCCTGTAATTAAACAAAATTCCTCCAAAATCAGGACCGCAAAGGGGCATAATGGAGACATGGTCTTCAGCATCCCAGTGTTATTAACAATTGAAAGCCATCAAATCAAAAGATCAACACCAGAAGAGGGAGCAAATTTCCCTGAGCAACATTATCCAGGAACAGTGCTGGTGTATGAACAAGTTGTGAAAAGTTCAGAGCATTCTCTCATTCTGGTCCGGTTAACTACAGATGTCCTGCTATTGCTACTGGCTACACGATAAGGCTCTCAGCAATGCTGAATTTAATCACAACACAACCAGCTTCAAATCCACTGCAAGGTGTTATATGTCCCTGATCATATATTACCATACTCTATGGATGGAGCAATCAGGAAAATATGCCCCAGGAAGAAGGGAATGCTTTCAAAGACAGGGAAGGAACCACTCACTTTGACTTCCTGGCCCCCTGCTTGCCAAAGTAAGGGGCCCCAAGCTTGCAGACAAATGCACTAGCACTTTTAAAAAGATGATCTCACTACTTTTAAGAGGCCAGACAGATTTGAAAGCCAAGACAAACCAGGACCCCACTAGAGTGTCTAAGACAGCTTAGAACAACCAGGGTCCTCTTGCAGAGAGATAAACTCTTGATAAAACAGAACTGTGAAGCCCTTTGGCTGCCTCCAAATCAGTGTGTTCATGACCAGTACTTTACAAAGGCTGTGCTGGCCACTGAAATCCACTTGGATCTTTGGTCAAACTTGGATTATTGTAGACAGCTATGACAGGTGAAGCTGTAGGGTGCAAAAGGCTGACAGCACACAGCAGCCCAGCTTCCTACTCAGAGAAGTGAAGTTGGGGGGATGACCTCAGAGACCACAAAGGAAAAAAGAGGTTCAGTTAGACCCCCAAACCACGGCCACCACATACCATCTTTTTAAATATATTGTTTGCTGCATTGCTGTTTCTCCCCAAGTTTGTTTTGTTTAGGAGTCAGTCTCACAGGAAATTGAAGATTTAAAAACTAGGTTTGACAGGGAGAGAAAAGTAGGATGCCTGCAGCATGACTGACCCAGTATTGTTGCCCATGGGCCAGCAAGAGATTGGGGACATCTATATTAAGAGAGCAGACAGGACTGTAGGAAGCTGTGACAAAAAAAAAAACAGTTACACACGAGTCATTTTAGCAATTGCAATTTGGCCAACTTAGTGGAGCCAACAAGGAGCAGTAATGGTAAGCAGTCCCCACTCAGAAGAGGTTTATTCCATCAGAGTAGGTATCAGAAGTTAACAACTTTAGGCACTTTTACTTTTGTCTTTTGTGGTTTAGGGCTTTCTAGAATGTCTTCGTGGTCTGCACTCATCCCTCGGGACCATCGGCCAACTGTTACCTGATCTGTAAAACAAAAACAGATGATGTATGTTTGTTCTTGAAAACAGAGTTATCTCACAGTCAGAGATGGTGCTTACAGGTTTAGGCATAAAACTGATAAAGAAGGTCTTGAGTTCTCATACAAGTTCTGACCCCTCGTCACCTCAAGTGAGTTATTTAACCTCTGTTTTGAAAACTCAGCTCCCTCCCAAGGCTCAAAGGGTCCAGTAATCATTGTCAGTTCCTGGGAACAGAGACTGCACAAAGTGCACAGCTTAACAATTATTTTCTTAGCAGGGATTCACCAAGATTCTCCCATTTCCACAGTGGGTTAAAATAGAATTCTGGCCAGTCTATAAAACATTTAATGAAAGCCTTAGTGTAGTCTCATCCCTGGAAAATAATCCTCTTTGTGAAGAAGTGGAGTAGGGACCTACTTAATTTGCAGTTTCATGGATTTTTTTTTTTGGGGGGGGGGGGGGGGGGGG